AATGCCCAACGATGTGTGGTTCGTAGATAGCGGCTGCTCGAATCACATGTGTTTCAACAAGGAGATGTTCACAGAGCTTGACGAATCTTACAAGTCTGAGGTCAGGCTAGGCAACAACAATGCCATTCAAATAGAAGGTAAAGGTGTTGTAGCAGTAAAGAATTGCCATGGTATATTAAACCACATTCATGATGTCTATTTTATTCCAAAATTGGCATATAATCTATTGAGTGTGGGGCAATTGATGAGCACTGGATATATGGTATTCTTCGAAGATAACTCCTGTGTCATCAAAGAAAAGAAATCTGGGCAAATCATTGCAAAGGTTTGCATGACAGGGAATAAGATGTTTCCGCTGCGAATTTCAAGTGTAGATAAATACGCTCTTGTTTCCGGCACACAAGAGGCGTCAAAGCTGGGGCATCAACGATATGGACATCTCAACGCTAATGGGTTAAAGCTTCTACGTGAGAAAGGTATGGTTCAAGGGCTGCCTAAAATTGATGCTTTTGATTTATGTGAGGGATGTATTTATGGGAAACAAAAGAGGAAATCGTTTCCTACCGGTGTCGCTTGGAGAGCTTCTAAATGTCTTGAGCTCATTCATGTTGATTTGTGCGGGCCTGTGAATACGGAGTCCATGGGTGGTAGTCGATATTTCTTCCTACTTACGGATGACTATAGTCGCATGAGTTGGGTTTATTTTTTGGAAAATAAATCCGAAGCCTTTGAGAACTTCAAAAATTTCAAGGCGATGGTGGAAAAGCAAAGTGAGAATAGCATCAAGGTTCTACGTACAGACAGAGGTGGTGAGTTTTGCTCAAATGATTTTAATCATTTTTGCAAAGCTAACGGAATACACAGGGAATTGACAGCACCTTATACACCGGAGCAGAATGGTGTGGCTGAGAGGAAAAATCGAATCGTTGTAGAGATGGCGAGAAGCATGTTGAAGGCGAAGCAGCTTCCAAACTCATTGTGGGCAGAAGCAGTTGCAACAGCTGTATATTTGCTGAATATATCTCCTACAAAAGCTATCTTAAATCGCACTCCATATGAAGCTTGGGGAGGTACGAAACCAACGGTGAGCCATTTAAAGGTTTTTGGATGCATAGCTTATGGTTTGGTGAGCTCTCAAAATCGTCGAAAGCTCGACGAGAAATCTGTGAAGTGTATCTTCATTGGATACTCTTCTCAATCCAAAGCATACAAGCTATATAACCCTCTTAGTGGCAAAGTTATTATCAGCAGAGACGTCATTTTCCATGAAGATGCTTGTTGGGATTGGGAGACCAAGCAAGATGATTCATATACTCTCTTTCCGCTGGACTCAAGTGATGCAGATTCTTGTGAGAATTCACCACAGAACAGCCCCACCAACTCACCAAATACTACTCCAAACTCTACTCCTCCAACTACGCCTCACACCTCACCAAACACAA